TTTAAGACCCCTTGAAGTATCAAGAAAATATAGATTTTTTTGTTGTTGATGAAAAATGTTATTTGGCCTTACTGCTATTAGCACATACAAACACATTGAATAACAGATTCACTACATGGAACAACAGATAGTCCCCCCCAAATAAATCAAAAGGAAGTTTGTTCTGAAACATATATATTTTTACATGTATTTAACCCCTTATTTTTGGCACTAAACAGTCTCCATATATTTAGTGTGCAAAGCTGTCATCAAGGCAAAGGGTGGCTACTTTGAAGAATCTCAAATATAAAATATATTTTGATTTGTTGAACACTTCTTTGGTTACTACATGATTCCATGTGTTATTTCATAGTTTTGATGTCTTCACTATTATTCTACAATGTAGAAAAGTCCCCCCCCCCCAAAAAAAGAAACTTGAATGAGTAGGCGTGTCCAAACCTTTGACAGTCCCATATTTATTTATTCTGATTTTTCAGGGGGTGTTGCAGCACCCTCAGCACCCCTACTTCATGCGGCTATGCTCAGCAGAAAGAAAAATCGAATTGGCATTACATTGACATTTTAGTCATTTAGCAGACACTCTTATCCAGAGCAACTTACAGTTAGTGAATGCATAATTTTTGTTTTGTTTTTCATACTGGCCCCCCGTGGGAAACGAACCCACATCCCTGCCGGCCAAACCCTCCCCTACCTTGGACGACGCTGGACCAATTGTGCGCCGCCCATGGGTCTCCCGGTTGCGGCCGGCTGCGACAGAGCCTGGACTCGAACCAGGATCTCTAGTGGCACAGCTAGCACTGCGATGCATGTTGTGGTTGTGAATTCAGGCTACACAGTAAGAATCATGCCAGGGATGATTGTAAAGTGTGTAGGGAAATTAAATGTATGGATGAAGGGTCCTCCATTTTCATTTCAGAAAGGACCGATTTTCTCCATATACCTTTGATGATCTCTTTCATGTTAGTCAAAAAAGTGCCATGCTGATATTGAAGCAAGCGCATCTTGCATAAAATGACTCCTTCAGATTTAAAATACCCTGTGCAAATGTCATTGGCAGGAGAAACAAAGGCACATGTTTTCTAGAAACAAGCACTTTTTATTATTAAACATTCAGTAACAAACAAATGGTGTAAGAAAGGATATGCCGGGTATGTATAATTTGTACACACAGACTTATGTACAATGATGTGCTATAGCACATGAAATGATGTACACATTTTGGAAGAACAAAGCATAGGCTACTGTATTGAACTACACTGCTCAAAAAAATAAAGGGAACACTTAAACAACACAATGTAACTCCAAGTCAAAAATCAAACTGTCCACTTAGGAAGCAACACTGATTGACAATGAATTTCACATGCTGTTGTGCAAATGGAATAGACAACAGGTGGAAATTATAGGCAATTAGCAAGACACCCCCAATAAAGAAGTGGTTCTGCAGGTGGTGACCACAGACCACTTCTCAGTTCCTATGCTTCCTGGCTGATGTTTTGGTCACTTTTGAATGCTGGCGGTGCTTTCACTCTAGTGGTAGCATGAGACGGAGTCTACAACCCACACAAGTGGCTCAGGTAGTGCAGCTCATCCAGGATGGCACATCAATGCGAGCTGTGGCAAGAAGGTTTGCTGTGTCTGTCAGCGTAGTGTCCAGAGCATGGAGGCGCTACCAGTAGACAGGCCAGTACATCAGGAGACGTGGAGGAGGCCGTAGGAGGGCAACAAACCAGCAGCAGGACCGCTACCTCCGCCTGTGTGCAAGGAGGAGCAGGAGGAGCACTGCCAGAGCCCTGCAAAATGACCTCCAGCAGGCCACAAATGTGCATGTGTCTACTCAAACGGTCAGAAACAGACTCCATGAGGGTGGTATGAGGGCCCGACGTCCACAGGTGGGGGTTGTGTTTACAGCCCAACACCGTGCAGGACGTTTGGCATTTGCCAGAGAACACCAAGATTGGCAAATTCGCCACTGGCGCCCTGTGCTCTTCACAGATGAAAGCAGGTTCCCACTGAGCACATGTGACAGACGTGACAGAGTCTGGAGACGCCATGGAGAACGTTCTGCTGCCTGCAACATCCTCCAGCATGACCGGTTTGGCGGTGGGTCAGTCATGGTGTGGGGTGGCATTTCTTTGGGGGGCCGCACAGCCCTCCATGTGCTCGCCAGAGGTAGCCTGACTGCCATTAGGTACCGAGATGAGATCCTCAGACCCCTTGTGAGACCATATGCTGGTGCGGTTGGCCCTGGGTTCCTCCTAATGCAAGACAATGCTAGACCTCATGTGGCTGGAGTGTGTCAGCAGTTCCTGCAAGAGGAAGGCATTGATGCTATGGACTGGCCCGCCCGTTCCCCAGACCTGAATCCAATTGAGCACATCTGGGACATCATGTCTCGCTCCATCCACCAACACCACGTTGCACCACAGACTGTCCAGGAGTTGGCGGATGCTTTAGTCCAGGTCTGGGAGGAGATCCCTCAGGAGACCATCCGCCACCTCATCAGGAGCATGCCCAGGCGTTGTAGGGAGGTCATACAGGCACGTGGAGGCCACACACACACACTACTGAGCCTCATTTTGACTTGTTTTAAGGACATTACATCAAAGTTGGATCAGCCTGTAGTGTGGTTTTCCACTTTAATTTTGAGGGTGACTCCAAATCCAGACCTCCATGGGTTGATACATTTGATTTCCATTGATAATTTTTGTGTGATTTTGTTGTCAGCACATTCAACTATGTAAAGAAAAAAGTATTTAATAAGATTATTTCATTCATTCAGATCTAGGATGTGTTGTTTAAGTGTTCCCTTTTTTTTTAGCAGTGTATAAGCATTTTACCACTCAGTTTTAGGTAGCAATATTATTACTATATCTTGCCAACATGAAGCAGAACTGATACGCCAATTTGCTCAGTAGTAGGTTTGAAGCATTCTACCATGGAGCATACTATCAGCTTTGTGTTTGATTAGATATGTACATATGGTTTTATGGTTGTTTACGAGTTGCCATTTCATTGCCATTTAGATCAGCATAATACTTTTAAGTTATTGATGAAAAAGACCATTCTTCAAAATACATTAACAAAAAAATGGTGAGTCTACATACTGTACATCATACCCACAGGAATGCTTAATGTGCTTCCCAAATAGCACCCTATTCCCTATAGTGTACTACGTTTGACCAGTGCTATGGGCCCTGGTCAAAAGTAGTGCACTTTATAGGGAATAGGGTGCCATTTAGGATGCATCCTTGGAGACTGTTGATGTACAAAGCATGTGTGACTGCACGTCACAGAATGACACTTATCAATGATATGTTGCAGCCAGCCCGTGTAGAGTATGATGCTCTGCTGCCACTGTAACAAAATGTTAGAAACAGACATCCTTTCGTAATAAGAATACATAAATAAAGCCTTAAAACCAATCAAGTTACCAGTTCAAATACTTAAATAACAAACAATCTGTCAATAAATAATAATAACTAAGGGCTGGGTTTTCGAATCCTACACTGTTGGGACTAGGCTATGCTACACTAAGTGCTCAATCAGTGTTCTAGACCCATCAGTGCTCAAGTAAACAATCATATTGAGTAAATGGCGGATAATAAGCAGTAGAAATTAGTTACTCACTCATCAAATGTGAAGACTTCAGATTTGTTGTAAACGATTTGGGTCTGAGAACAGAAATATGCAACACTTTTATGTGCACTGCCGATTTGGATCGAAATTTGCAGCCTGTCCTTCCATAAGTTGTTTTGAACATTCAATTACGACTGAACTTGAGTCTTATGAATGGTCTCTTAAATAAATGTAAGTGAACCAGCATAACAAATCTGAAATGATCATGGAGGTGACAGATGTGTACTGACACAAAAATGATGTATAATATCATGTGACAAGTCATGTATAACGTGATGTGACAAGTCAATCGTGTTAGATTCTTTCATTCATATCTCAAACCTCACCATTGGAAAAATAGGCATTTTACTATATCTACACATTATGCATACTTGATGCATACTCTAAGGCAGGGGTTCCCAAACTTTTTTCACTCGGGGCCCCCCTTCCAGCAATGGGGAACATCCCACGACCCCCCTGCGCGCACGTGCACGCGTCACGTCTATTTCTATGAGCACAAGCACTGTTCATGACACAAACTGTTCACATCCCTCTTGTTGGTAGAGAGCATTTTGCGGGTTTAAAGCTTATTTCCTGCAATTCTACAAATTCTGTCATGGGGTGCAAAGAAAATGTTGCAGTTTTAAAGTTACTTTTCTTGCAATTCTATACATTTTGCCATGTCTAATGTGTATTCATGATATTTGAGTGACAAAAAAATTACAACAATATCTATGGGCTAAAACACCTAAATATACAAACGTTAGCTGACATGGGCTAGTTGATCTGGACATTTCTGACAAGTTATAAATAGCTCTCTAAGTTATGCAATGACTGACATGACAAGAGGAACTGATGATGCACTACCCAATTTCGAAATTGCACCTTGTGCATTCTACTATTACAACTTTCAAGAGTAAGTTTAAAGCCGGACTGAGTTCCTAAAGAAATCCCCCCCCCCCACAGTTTGGGAACCACTGCTCTAAGGGACCAATGCTGAATATTTCTTCACATACAATAGCACTTACTCAAGGGTTAACCACGTTCTACAATAAATTACATTCAACAGTTATACTACCTCTCATAGATCTTTATCTGATAGTTATAATTTCCAAGGATGATATTTAGAAATGTTGGCATTTACAATAGATGGACACAACAAGAGTAGTAGTGCTTCATACTGCAGCTCTGAAACATCTCAATGAATCAAATGCCAATGTCTTGTCTACTGGCATTTTGAACACAGACACGCTATCCACATAACATGTTTGTTGACAAGTTATTATCCACTGTCCAGAGTTACGTTTTCATGGGGAGCCATGTTTCAATGGCAGAGTCCTGTAGTACTGCTAACAGTTGGTTTTCATCCCACCTGTGTGTTACAGTCATAGGGTGTGTCCCATGCTACTAGTCACCAGTCCCTTGATGTTGGTGACGGGGCGCACGTCATGCAGCTGCCTCCGTCTGTCGATGAAGGAGGCCAGGCGACCAGTGTCCAGTGGGTTCTTGGAGTAGTCTCCACTGTGGGCGCCCACCCAGGGGTGCTGGAGACAGGTGGTGGCACTGGGCCTCTTCCGGGGGTCCTGCTGCAGGGTAGAGTTGATGAAGTCCCGGGCCGCCTGGCTCACTCCCTGGAAGTAGTCCTCGGGGAAGCAGAAGTCCAGCTTGCAGATGTTGACGCACGTTTCCTCCAGGCTCTCGTCCAGGAAGGGCGAGACGCCGCTCAGCATGACGTAGGCCAGGACGCCGGCGCTCCACACGTCCGTGCTCAGCGACACCGGGGTGCCCTGGATCAGCTCCGGAGCAGCAAACTCTGGGTTTCCCAGGAGCAGGTGGACATAACGGTGGCCAGACACCTGGACCGCATCGCCAAAGTCTATGAGCTTAATGCAGGGAACAGGCACGTGGAGATCCACCAGGAGGTTCTCAGGCTAAGGACACACAAGAGAGGAACACATTTGTAAATGGATTTAACCAAGATCAGGGACATTTCACTGAAAGTTTGTCATATGTTTTCAGACCTCAAAAGTGTCCTAATTTCCATTAATTTGGGGTGGAGGCATACACTGAGTGTACAAAATATGAGGAATATCTTCATAATATTGAGTTGCACCCCCTTTTGCCCTCAGAAGAGACTCAATTCGTTGGGGCAGGTGTCGAAAGCCTTCCACAGGGATGCTGGCCCATGTTGACTCCAATGCTTCCCACAGTTGTGTCAAGTTGGCTGGATGTCCGTCGGGTGGTGGACCATTCTTGATAAACACTGGAAACTGTTGAGCATGAAAAACCCAGCAGCATTGCAGTTCTTGACACACTCAAACCGGTGCACCTGGCACCTACTACCATACCCCGTTCAAAGGCACTTAAATATTTTGTGTTGCCCATTCACCCTCAATGGTACACACACACAATCCGTGTCTCAATTGTCTCAAGGCTTAACAATCCTTCTTTAACCTGTCTCCTCCCCTTCATCTATACTGATTGAAGTGGATTTAACAGGTGGCATCAATAAGGAATCAAAGCTTTCACCTAAATTCACCTGGTCAGTCTATGTCATGGAAAGAGCAGGTGTTCCTAATGTTTTGTACACTCAGTGTATAGTTAGATCTACTCAACCGGTTTCGTGGGACATGGTTTCATCTTGAAATTATACAATTTTCTTGGTCTGAAAACATTTGTCAAACTTTGAAAGTGTAATGTCACTTTAATAACATTGTATATGCACCATATGTCCTTAGCAGTGGTACGGATGTGTGCTTTGTGTTTACCTTTAGGTCTAGATGTACCACTTTGCAGGTGTGGAGGTGTTGCAATGCCTCTAAGGTGTCCTTCACAAAGAAGGCCACCTTCTCCTCCATCAGCTCATCATGGGCCACCAGGTAGTCCAGCAGCCTCCCGCCCTCCAGCCTGGAAACAACACGAGACAAACATTAATTCAGACCACACTCTAAGACACTATGTGTCTGTCCCAAATGGCACCGTGTTCCCTATATAATGCACTACATTCTCTGGTCAAAAGTAGTGTACTATGGGAATAGGGTGCCATTTGGGAAGCAGACAATGACTGAGTTCACTAACAATGCCAAGTGAAGGCTATAATCCCTAGCGTGGGTCCAACTCTATGATTGTCATGCCACAAGCAGATAGGAGTTGGCAAAAAGCAAAAACAATAATACATCCCTCTTTCTAAATCGTATTGGAAGACAAGGTCAAAAGACCCTCCACCCAGACCTGGTTCTCCAAAGTATTTTGAGAAGGAGGCGAGGAGAGAGGATGCGAGGAATTGAGGAAAGATGAATTGAGAATCAGCCCAAGTCCACAGCAGAATGTTCCTTATTGTCATGCTCGTTTACGGACGAGACGGACCAAGGTAGCACACTAACATACCAAAACACGGAACAAGATCCCACAACTAACAGGTGCCAAAAGGCTGGCTAAGTATGGTCCCCAATCAGAGACAACGAGCTACAGCTGTCTCTGATTGGGAACCACCCCGGCCAACATAGATCTACACATTCTAGATTTAAAACATAGAAAACAACATAGCAAACACAACACAGAAAATACACACCCTGACTCAACAAATACAAGTCCTCAGAGTCAGGGCGTGACAATACCCCCCCCCCCAAAGGTGCGGACTCCGACCGCGCCACATAAACATAACAGGGTAGGGGCCGGGTGGGCATTCCGCCTCGGAGGCGGATCCGGCTCCGGGCGTGACCACCACTTACTCTCCACCTCCCTGTTGTGCCCCTGGTCTGGTCTGGATCTCGGCGCGCTGCTTCCCCTCTCCTTCCTCCCACGACGTACCAAGCCCTGTCTGGACCCTGGTGTGGGAGACCCCGAACCTGGAGAGGGGCTGACGTCTGGGTCTGGACTGGAACCGCTGACTGGAGCTGGACCCGACGATGGTGGATCGAACTGCTCTGGCTCCGGAGTGGAGCCGCTGACCGGAGCTGGATCAGGCACTGGTGGAGCGGATTGCTCTGGCTCCGGAGTGGAGCAGCTGACCGGAGCTGGACCGGACCCCGGTGGAGCGGATTGCTCTGGCTCCGGAGTGGAGCCGCTGACCGGAGCTGGACTGGACCCCGGTGGAGCGGATTGCTCTGGCTCCGGAGTGGAACAGCTGACCGGTACCGGACCAGGCACCGGTGGAACAGGCACGGGGCGTGCCGGACTGGACACACGCACCACTGGCTTGGTGCGGGGAGCAGGAACGGGCCGGACCGGGCTGACGACGCGCACCACTGGCTTGGTGCGGGGTGCAGGAACAGGCCGGACCGGGCTGGCGACGCGCACCACTGTCTTGGTGTGAGGGACAGGAACAGGCCGGACCGGGCTGGCGACGCGCACCACTGGCTTGGTGCGAAGGCCGGGCCGGGCTGGGCTGGGCTGGGGATGCGCACCACTGGCTTGGTGTGAGGGGCAGGAACAGGCCGGGCCGGGCCGGGCTGGCGACACGCACCACTGGCTTGGTGCGAGGGACAGGAACAGGCCGGACCGGGCTGGCGACGCGCACCACTGGCTTGGTGCCCAGCCTGTTCCTGTCCCTCGCCGGGCTGGCGACGCGCACCACTGGTTTGGTGCGAGGGGCAGGAACAGGCCGGGCCGGGCTGGCGACGCGCACCACTGGTTTGGTGCGAGGGACAGGAACAGGCCGGGCCGGGCTGGCGACACGCACCACTGGTTTGGTGCGAGGGGCAGGAACAGGCCGGGCCGGGCTGGCGACACGCACCACAGGTTTGGTGCGAGAAGCAGGAACAGGCCGGGCCGGGCTGGCGACGCGCACCACAGGTTTGGTGCGAGGGGCAGGAACAGGCCGGGCCGGGCTGGCGACGCGCACCACTGGCTTAGTGCGGGGAGCAGGAACGAGCCGGACCGTACTGGGAACACACACCACTGGCTTAGTGCGGGGAGCAGGAACGGGTCGGGCCGTACTGGGAACACGCACCACTGGCTTAGTGCGGGGAGCAGGAACGGGCCGGACCGTACTGGGAACACACACCACTGGCCTTGTGCGGGAAGCAGGAATGGGTCGGGCCGTACTGGGAACACGCACCACTGGCTTAGTGCGGGGATCAGGAACGGGCCGGACCGGACTGGCGACACGCACCACTTGCTTGGTGCGAGGAGCGGGACTGGGTTCCCTTATAAACCCCCGCTCCTTCTGCTGCCTAACCAGCTCCTCTCGCCGTGCCTCTACACTCTCCTTCTCCCTTATCGCCTCCTGTAGCTCCTCCCTCTGACCAAATAACTCCTGCTCCCTCTGGACCAATAGCCCCCGTAACCTGGTGGCCTCCTCTCCTAACCTGCAGATTCGCCCTGTCGCTGCCTCCTGCTGCCTCGTCGTCCACACCGTGTGCCCCCCCCAAACCTCTCGGGTCTCTGTCGTCGGCACTGTTGGCGCCGTTTCTCCTCTCCTACCTGGGCATCCTCATTCATCGCCCTCCGGTAACGGACGGCCTCCTCCTCCGTGATTCTCCCCCAACCGAGGAGGACATCTACTAACGTAACCTCCTGTTTAATTCCCGGCGTTTGCTCCTGAACACGCTGCTTGGTCCTATTTTGGTGGGATCTTCTGTCACGATCGTTTACGGACGAGACGGACCAAGGCGCAGCGACAAAAACAACAAACAAAACGTGAAGTCCAAGGTAGCACACTAACATACCAAAACACGGAACAAGATCCCACAACTAACAGGTGCCAAAAGGCTGCCTAAGTACGGTCCCCAATCAGAGACAACGAGCTACAGCTGTCTCTGATTGGGAACCACCCCGGCCAACATAGATCTACACATTCTAGATCTAAAACATAGAAAACAACATAGCAAACACAACACAGAAAATACACACCCTGACTCAACAAATACAAGTCCTCAGAGTCAGGGCGTGACACTTACAGCTCGAAGACCAGCATAAGGGAGGTGGGGGACTCATAGGTGTCAGTCAGAGCCACCAGCTGAGAATGCTGGACGTGGCATAAGATGTCCGCCTCATGGGCCACCTGCTCCTTCTTCTGCATCTTCTTAGTGACATACTTCACAGCCACCTCCTTCTTACTAGCCTTGTTCAGACACTTTCTCACTACAGAGAATCGGCCCCTGTAGGAGAGGAGTAGGAGATTAGTTGTAACACATAAAAAATGTCATTGTTGTACCTATTCAACTGCTACAGTTAGCCTTTATGAGAATTTGTATGACATTTGTGTGAAAAATCCCAATAAAATACTTCTAATTTAAAACAATTATGGTAGGCTACTTTAAAACTGGTGGGGTGTGCAATTTACCGTCCGATCTCACAAATTTCTGTAAAAGTCGATTCAAAGTTGTCTTTCCACTGAATGCCAGTTCCATCAAATGTGGAAACTTAGAATAGAAAGAAAACAAATGGAATATTTGATTAGTCAATATTTACATTGTAGCTACATACACTACCGTTCAAAAGTTGGCGTCACTTAGAAATGTCCTTGTTTTCGAAAGAAAATCATTTTTTTTGTCCATTAAAATAACATCAAATTGATCAGAAATATAGTGTAGACATTGTTCATGTTGTAAATGGCTTTTGTAGCTGGAAATGGCTGATTTCTAATGGAACATCTACATAGGCGTACAGAGGCCCATTATCAGCAACCATCAGTCCTGTGTTCCAATGGCACATTGTGTTTGCTAATCCAAGTTTATCATTTTAAAAGGCTAATTGATCATTAGAAAACCCTTTTGCAATTATCTTAGCACAGCTGAAAACTGTTGTGCTGATTAAAGAAGCAATAAAACTGGCCTTCTTGAGACTAGTTGAGTATCTGGAGCATCAGCAATTGTGGGTTCGATTACAGACTCAAAATGGCCAGAAACAAATAACTTTCTTCTGAAACTCGTCAGTCTATTCTTGTTCTGAGAAATGAAGGCTATTCCATGCGAGAAATTGCCAAGAAACTGAAGATCTCGTACAACGCTTTGTACTACTCCCTTCACAGAACAGCACAAACTGGCTCTAACCAGAGTAGAAAGAGGAGTGGGAGGCACCGGTGCACAACTGAGCAAGAGGACAAATACATTAGAGTGTCTAGTTTGAGAAACAAGCGCCTCACAGGTCCTCAACTGGCAGCTTCATTAAAGAGTACCCGCAAAACACCAGTCTCAACGTCAACAGTGAAGAGGCGACTCCGGGATGCTGACCTTCTAGGCAGAGTTGCAAAGAAAAAGCCTTATCTCAGACTGCCCATTTTAATCTTTTCTTTTTATTGGCCAGTCTGAGATATGAGATACTAAATAACAAAGCTTTCTTTTTCTTTCTCGTTCCTCATTTTTTCTATTCTATTTTTCTATTTTTTTCTATTCTATTTGTTTGTTTTGGCCCTCCCTGCTTGTAGTGTGAAGATGGAGGGTTTGACTCACTCCCGCTGGGCAGGGTCACCATGTTGGAGGGCTCGCTGGGCGGACTGATACCCCAGGGGTTACTGGCACTGACCCGGAACTGGTAGTGCCCCCCAGGAATGAGATCTTCAATTTTCACACACACATCTACAGTGGAGACCACCGACTGCTGCCACACCAGGGAGTCTGCAGAGAAGAGGACGAGAGGTTAGGTCATAGTTCAAAGGTCACAGGTGACTGTCTGTAGCTTATGATTTGTAAAGCGGAAGAGAGGTGGAAGGTGAAGTTGCTCCTAGATGTTGATCTTGGTTCAGTTTAGCATTTTCCCCACTAATGGTTATAGATACACTATGGAGAAATCACTCCGCCATTTCCTGGTTTCTAAAATTCTAATAGTTAGCCTAATTTCAGTTTATGTGACAAAACAAGGAAGTATAGTGTAGAGAATCATTGTACCATCTAAAATGCTGTGAAATATATTTTCCATATCCCCAAAATATTGTATTTTCAGAACGAGAAGCATAGAAATAGCGCACATAGAACAGATCTACCACTTCTTAGACTTGCTTTCAATGAGAATGACAGATCTAACACACGGTTTGCCCAAACATTTATATATTGCAGCTTTAAGGTTAAGATTTGGGGAGGCTGATCCTAGATCTGTACCCCGGAGCCAGAAGAGAGATGGACCTACTGTACCTTCCTGCCTGTACTCCACTGTGTAGCTGGACACAGCACAGTTAGCTGAGCTGGCTGGGGGGAGCCAGTGGACAATCACTGCATTGCTACTGGCCTCCTGGGCCACCGGCCTCGCAGGTGCCGCTGGAATACCTGAAAACAGACATTAGCCCAATATCAGTCTTAAATGGCCATGGAGAGCTAGCCTTGTGAAAGGAGCCTGATCTCATGATAGCTCGCAATCCAAAATGTGAGTGCAGTGGTCAGTCTGCTTGACCAAGCTAATGAAGAGCCTCTCGAAACCCCACCCCCCATCCATATCCCCTGGTCTCACCTTGTACTTTGATGGAGGCGGAGGAGGAGGCAGTGCCATGGTCATTGATGGCCACACAGGTGTAGATGCCAGTGTCCTGGGGCATCAGGTTACAGATCTTCAGCAGAATGTCGCCCGTATCCCTGGAGACAAGGACAGAGAAGGAGAGAGTAGGTGTGATTGGTTGCCAAGAATAGAACATGACCTTTCTCACCAGAAAATAAATATGCTACATTGGTTTCTGCTTTTGCTGATCATAACCTTTTACTGAGCTCCATCTAAAGTTCATGTTATTCCTCCAGCAACATGTTTAGTCTACCTAGGGATGCGTCACAAATGGCACCCTATTTCTTACACACACTGTATATAGTGCACTACTTTTGACCAGAGCCCTATAGTGCACTACTGGTCAAAAGTAGTGGACTATATAGGGAATGGAACTATTTGGGATGCAGACAATGGATTTACCATAGGGATTAGGCCACAGACATTACCTTTAAGCAATTATGTCAGAATGTTTTATTCATCCAATAGGGAGATAATAGTGTAAGTATCTCTAGAGATGTCTAACTGTCCTGCCAGAGACGTTTCTTTCATCTTACTTCCTACTCTTACTAGGTTAGAGGAATTTGGGTATGTACTTCCATTTATTAGTCAGAATCAGATGTTGGATGCCCACCAGTGAGGGCCAGCGGAGGAAGACATCAGAGGACCGGCTCATAGTACTGGCTGGAATGGAATAAATGAAACGGTTTCAAACACTTATGGTTTCCATGCCGTTCCATTTCTTATATTCCAGCCATTACTATGAGCCGGTCCTCTGATGTCTTCCTCGGCTGGCCCCCACTGGCGGCATCCAACATCTGATTTTCTTGTGATCATCAAGACCATATCCTAACTAGAAACCTTATAGTTCCTTTACCTAATGTTTATAGTGAACCTGCTGTTGTTGACAACCGGGTTCTGATCGGGTCCTTTCAGAGTGATGTTGGGTTTGGGACGTCCACACACTTTGCAGCATAGGACCACCGTCTCCCCAAAAGCACACGTTACATCAGCTAGTGGGATCAGGAACTCTGGAGCCACTAAATACATTAACACACAGCAGTGTCAGCTAACCACACCACATGATTCTAACAGCAATTATAAACTGGGTGGTTGCAGCCCTGAATGCTGATTGGCTGAAAGCCGTGGTATACCACGGGACATGACAAAACATTATTTTTATGTCGGTGACCAGTTTATAATAGCAATGAGGCACCTCGGGGGTTTGTGGTATATGTCCAATATACCATGGCTAAGGGCTGTATCCAGGCTCTCTGCGTTGCGTCATGCATAAGAACAGCCCTTAGCCATGGTATATTGGCCATATACCACATCCCCTCGTGCATTATTGCTTAAATATACGCTACGTCCTAAATGGCACCCTATATAATGCACTACTGTAGACCAGGGCCCATAGGGCTAAGGTCAAAAGTAGTGCACTATTAGGGAATAGGGTGCCATGAGACGCAACCAGCCTCAGAAGGATGCATGACATATCAGTAATTAAATGATTATTGATTTCACTCTTAATCATTTAAATGTAAGTGTTTATGTTCTGATAGTTCATCTTACCTTCTTGTATAAAATTGGGATTCATTATCTGCAAAGATAAGGCATGGCTGTTAGGCAATATGAATGAACTATAATGTTCTTGTTTGAATTATGAACTGTTTTGCTAATTCAAAAGGAAAATACATATATACATACCTCAGAGTTCTGTGTCACTCATATTTGTGTCCTACCATTTACAAATTATTTGCAATAGAGGGCTACTGTACTAGGGCATCGTACCCCACATATATTTGTGACATTTAGGCATGTCATGCCTTTAAAAATCTTTGCAAAAAAATGCAAAACAAGGCGCAATCACCAGGGGATCCAAAAGAAGAGATGTCAGGAGTAGTGGCATGCTTACGGGGGTTTGTGTGAGAGGCTTTGTCACATTAACAAACCTAACCATCCCTGGGAGAGATGTATTTCAATGTAGGAACACTAGGTTGCGGTAATGGTCCATGGAAACCACACGGCTACACAAGAAGAGAAAATGTGGACGCTTGAGATCAGACAAGTAGCACATAGAGCAGCTAGCTAAACTTGCCAAGACCCCTTTAGGGATTTAATAACATAGTTATAGGAATAAATGTATTGTTTTGCAATCAAAAAGGGTGAACATCTTTACAACAGACTAACAAGCCTGCTGAGAGGTCAAGTCTGTCAAAGCTAACAGGAGGATGCTTTTCAATTACAATGACCAGGAATTGGAACTGAGGAACTAGAGCAATTTAATTTATCATATAATATATGGCATTTAGCAGACACTTTCATTCAAAGTAACTTACAGTAGTGCGTGCATACATTTTCACATGGGTGGCCTCTGCAGGAATCGAACCCACAATCCTAGTGTTGCAAGCGCCATGCTCTACCAACTGAGCCACACAGGACCGTGCAAGCTTTGAAGGGGGAGGCTTGTTTAGTTTATAAGGATCCCCATTAGCTGTTGCACATGCAGCAGCTACTTTTCCTGGGGTCCACAGGCTGTACAGGAGTTACAATGATGCATGTGAGAACAATACATCTTTTCAAACAAAAATACGTCTTTTCAACATATTTTGCTCATGTGTTCCAGGTGCTTACCTGATGTATTAATACTGTGCACCAATCAGTGGCAAATGCATTTACAAACTCCACCCATGGCCTCTCTGAGGCCGGAACCAGAAAATCCTAACAAATAAGGAGCAGGAACAAAGATATTCCTGTTGGTTCTTGCTCAGGATGAAACCATACTCAAAATGGCAACTGATCCACCCATTGCAGACCCCTTGACTTGAATGGGGAAGCTTATTCTAGTGATTGTATTTCTATGGGTAAAAAGCTAGTGTAGCTAATGGAACATGTGGAACCTGCCTTTTTGTCAAAAGCTCCTGACCACAGTGAAAACCCCTATGATGCTGAGTGTAGTTTCCTCTTGCTAGACGTAGCTACAGAAACTCAACTGGGCAGCATGCATGATGACAGATCGGCGTGTATTACTACCTCCATGCTAGTTTTGGGGAGTTCATCATCGCAATCTGACTCCTCTGAGCTGTTTGACTCCTGCGGTGTGGGATAAGAGAAAGCAAAATTAGAGCAGTTACAAAGGCCTGGTGGTCCCCAAGCTAGAGGCACAGTCAGGATTCTGTTGAGGCTAATGTGTATGGGTTGTTGATATAGGATTTGTGCTTACTAGTAAGTATGGTGTTAAAGACAGAGAATCTGTCTTGTGCTGAATTCCAAATTGACCCCTGACCCATACTCCCCAAGCACTGTAGATCTGAAAGGATTTGGATAGATACACCTACAGTGTAACTAAATACTTATTTTATCTAGGAGTGCCTTTGGTGATAAGGGCTGAAGGTCCAGTCCAGCATATTGTATGTGGGAGGGCTTTAAGGAAACAAAGAGGGAATCTGTAAAGAAGAGTTGCTTGGGAACCACTGAGCCGGAGGTAAAAATGCATAAATATGGACATATTGTATGAGCTGGGAAATGAACCAATTAAGCAAAAATAAATAATATAAATTATAGAGCTGACACCTGAAACAATGCAATCTAACACAAAATTATTGATGACACACAAATAGCAGTCAGTAACATTTAATTATATGTGCATGTCTCTTTCTATGTTCATATTCCATGTAGGGAGTGTGTAACGGTAGTGGCATAAATAGTCAAACCGTGGCGAGGACAAAACTTGCAAGCAAACTTAAAGTGAAATGTATCCAATGGACATAATTGACAAATTAAAACAATCTACTCTAACATGCTTAAAATGAAAGATGGATCAGCAGACTCAGCATCATACGGAATTGATGAGGGGTTATTTTGAAATGCACTGCTAGTATATATTGATACAGAAATATAATGTAGTGTGAGATCCAGTTTCAGTATGTTTTCACTGAAACACAACACCTTATGATTTGTGTAGTTAATACCTGCATGCTAAACCCATGAATGAGGACTTGTTTTCGTTTAAAGGGTTTACCTCAATGGGCTCCAGGTCATAGGTTATCAAAATGGTGGTTTCACAGTGTTATTTATGTCAATAAAGTCATTAATTTGAACAAAAACTAAAGTTATCTTAAAGGTTGACTCAGTGATATGACGTAGATGCAGAAAGTAAACAGCATAGTGGGTCAATTTCCGCAATAACTAAGAACGTTGAAGTGAGAGGCTAAGCTTCTCTGCTGTTTTGGGCCGGTGGCTCCCACGCTGTAAGAGCGTGAAGTGAACCCGTGCACATGAGAAGATACTATGTGTGACTGTGTGAGAGCAACGTCTTGCATCTCGCTCATCTCAATATCTGCGGCACTGCTCGTGGCAACGTCATTTCGCTGAGTCTAACTTTAACCAACAGCAAAATTGCCACAATTCACAGACAAGAAGTCACCTGACTCATTAGTATCATGCATAAGGGGGCGTCAAACCAAAGTGAGAGCAGACAGTGTAGTTAGAGGTGGATTATCATAGTGTTTCAGTGTTGGAGATTATTAACGTCACGAATCACGACACACAGGTGAGGGAGTGGCAGCCGAGGACACAGAACACCATCTCCGTAGACAGCCCGCTTACTCACTTTGACAGTGACCTTGGTGCTGAGAATCTCCTTGGGCTTACGGAGTCCATTCTCAACCTTTGCATCACCCTTGCCACTGATATCCTTCTCTGCTCGCTTTCTCGAGCGCAGGGTATTCCATGAAAGAGATTTCCTGTTGTGCCAAGAAATATACCAGTCAAATCCAGGCTTACACACACTGATGGCAGAGGTGCAGGGGGATTGAGAGGGGCTAGCGAGAGAGAGAGAGAGAGAGAGAGAGAGAGAGAGAGAGAGAGAGAGAGAGAGAGAGAGAGATGTATAGATGATAGAGATCGATTATAGTAGGATACTCCGATCTAGAGATCCTAACTACTTCTCCTCCCTCGCTCGTCTCTCTCTCTCTCCCTCCTCTCTCCCTCCCTCCCTCCCTCCCTCCTCCTCCCTCCCTCCCTCCCTCCCTCCCCTCCCTCCCCCCTCCCTCCCGCCTCCCTCCTCCCGCACCTCCCTCCCTCCCTCCCTCCCCCCTCACCACTCCCTCCTACCCTCCTCTAGAGCGATAAAAAAAATAAAGAAAGGAGACAAATGTACCTCCTTTGGAACAGAATTTTCAAATAGAAAAGCAAAAGTTAATGTTTATATCATGGTATATTAGAAAGTCAGACACACAGAGGTGGAAAAAGCTCCTCTGTACGCTACCATACCTTGATTCTCTTACACCATAGTGGACAGACAATTTGTGTCAAAGCAGCCTAGTTTGTTGGGCATAAGAGGTCTGGCCAACCATTCCATGGCTCTACTTTGTCGTGAGATTTTCAATGATGCTGCTTTGTACACAACAAACTTTTGTCGAGGACCGGTGTGGTTAGTAGAAAATTAAAACAAGCAGTCTACTACGTCAGACTACGTCAACGAAATGGGTACAAAGAAACAGAAACAAATCATATAAAAAGTGCATACACCAGTGTGCTGTTGAAATACTCCTAACCTCATCACTCTAGTGTGAGAAAGTAGATCCCAGAAGTGGTGTTTGTGAATGTGTTTATACAACACCAGGACATTTCCATGAGAAGAATGATCACTTTAATAACGCCCACGATTTAGAAATGGTCCACCATTAGGAGGAAATGGATGATCAAGCCACAATGAAACTTTTTTCATTTTTACAAATTGAAATCCACATGATAAAATATTGGGATGAACTGATTTCACTATCATTTTATGCTCAATGTGAGATAAGAATGGAATCTAGGTCTAATGCTGTAAGAGCAATGTTCAGCGGAGAAACATGCAGTTTGACTGCAGAGTAGTGATGCGCAGTTGACTCATAACCTGCAGTCCCCGTGGTTAGGGCTTTTGGGAACGGGCAGAAATTTTTTACATCGATCCATGGATGCAAAAAGGACAATGTCAGAGTTTAACTCAATAAGAGAAAAGCTGCTAAATGGAGAGTTGAAAATAAAGAGAAGGGAGGGCCAGAAAAGTAATGTTTGGGAAAGATTTGGTGAAGTGGTAAAAGAGGATTATAGCAGTGTTATGTGTGTGATGATTGTGAGGCGTTATACATATTCGACAGTCACAAGACGGGGACTTCAAATAGGCCTATGGCACGTCAAGGGAACTGTAGCCTACTGTTCAGATGGGTTAAATGGAAACTGAAATCTGGACACTGACTGTAGGTCTATAACCTCTCGCATAGCCTTAATATTAACTAAGAATTTCTTGCAGTAAAATTATACACCAAAGATAGGCTAAATTTTGACAGGAGTGGAGAAATATTATTTATTCTTTCAGCATTTTGAGAGAATTCGAATGTGCAGTTAGATCCTGTCTGTAGAGGTGCCATCTTTAGTATTTCAACCACATAAAATATGCATCCAAGCCACACTGAAATCTTATCAGAAACATGTTGGGTTGTTTTCACAGCTTTCTATTTCCTTACAACCATTCAAACTGATGTCATTTGGACATGTTGCACAGAAAATCTTTAAAGTTAGTTTTTGTTATTGTGTTTTCCCTAAATGTCTTTGCTCCGTGAAAGAAGCAGAGACGACAGAAAACGTTACCGATGTCAACAAGATTGAAGCATTAATTTTATCGATTTATTACATTCTGGTGAGCAAGGGTTAACTTAGTCTTCTAGGGCAACATATAATGACAGAAGAGAAGCTGCATGTCTTTAATTATAGACAAGTTGACTAACAAATAGCCTAGTAAAATGTCGGAAATTATATGCTGAAACATATCTAAATCAGCATAGCCGCAGGAAGTGGGGGTGCTGAGGGTGCTGCATCACCCCCTGAAAAATCTAAATAAAAAAACAATATTAATAATAAAAATGTATTGTAAATGTCTATTTTCCACAAAAGTAGTGCACTGGGCCTTTACTAGTTCTATATTAGCGGGTTAGGGTCAGTTGCCGGCCTCAGATTTTCACTTTATCACATATAGTCGGCCAGTTGCGGATGGATTATTAGCAATTGCGGGCGGGTGCGGGTGAAGAAACAGCTGACCCTCGCACCACTAGTGCAGAGTCATAGTATTTACCAATATTAACAATGTAACTGATGTTCTTCTAACGCAAAACAAGTTCAACTTATGTTGGCTTGCAAACTCATGCTCATGTCAAAATTTTATTTTACATATTTAAAATACATTTAAAATTATTAGTTAGACTACAAGTACAATGATTAACATTGTGACTATAATTATATTGCACAACCTGACTTCATTAATATGGATTATCTTAAATAGTGCAAAATACTTTATACAGGAATGTACTGGAGAGAGCGCATCAGTAAACAAACCAAATTAACTTTTTACAGTAAACTGCCAACATATCTGATAATTTTAAACAAATAAAATACAATATGAACATAAATGTAACAAAAAAATAACAAAACCAAAAACACAATCTGTACAAATTGCCATTGACAATAACAAACTTTCTCCACTTTGAGAAATAGCCCCCAGTCCATCAAAAGGCCTTTCAAAAACATGTAAAGAAAAAAACGGTGTTAGAAACAGAAATAAAAGTCCAGACCAGTCAGTTCCACATTGATGTAAGATTCTCTCGGTGTGTCTTCTCTACATGAAGCCATGATTCTCTAAAGTCCTTTAACTCTTTTCAGAGAATTACTCATTAAGCCTTTACATATATTAACAAAAAAGGAGAAAAAATGACCCCTGTGTTGTCCAACATTTCCAAGTTAGTTCCCATAAAGGGGGTTGGCGGTGGGGGGGGGGGGGAGGGATTGGAGCAGATTCAACTTTCACCTCATCCAATAAGAGCAGCTCTGTGGGGGTGGGGGCGAGGCTGAGGGACACTTACTTGATGCTTGCGTTAGCAGTACTGTCTTTGAGTGTTTTAGTGAGGGGGCCCAGGATGTGGCCTGGGACCCAGCCCTCGGCTGCAGGGGACTGGCTGTTGGCGGGCCGGTACACTAGGTACATGTTCTGCTGGTTGGTGGCCATGATCTGCACCATCTCGCCCTGGATCACACAGATCTCATTCTCCTTCAGTGCACTGTAGTCCTGGGTCACCATCATGGTGGAGGAAATGCCGTTACATCCAACGCCGTCATGCTGCTAGGGAGGGGTGGGGATGGGGTGGGAGAGGAAGGAAGATTGTATTATGGCAGGGGAAATCAACACTGATACAAACCTGTATGCACATTCAAATAACATGAGTCATTACATACATTGACTCAATTCCTTAACTTCAGTATTTCTTGTCTGCGAGTTTCAAGTAAACAAAGTTTCAACATCTCCTGTTGAAATGTAAAACTAGGCCAGACAACAGACTGGACCGGACCAGACTGGACTCACCCTAGTTGAGTCATAGCAGGAGCTGCCGTTGGAGGTAGATAGTTTGAGAGGAGTAGGGGTCCTTCCCGGTCCTGCCAGGGGGGGCTTCTCTGCCCCCACAGAGGAGGAGGAGAGGGGCCTGCTGTTGGAACTGGGGGGCCGACTGCCAGACTGGTTTCTGGTGAGGGATTGAGAACCACCCTTCTCCTTGTGGTACTCAATGGGAGACTGCAGGGCTGTGGTGATAGTCCATTGTTACACACAATCAATAAACGAAAAGCCACATGTGTGTATTCTGTGTTAGACGGATGTAAATACTATTACTCCTGTGTTGAGGCTGTAGTTATGACTAAATGGGTTTTGATCTAACTATTGACAACATTCAGGTAACTTTCTCACATTTCCCAGGTTTTCCAGAAATCTTAGTTGGAAGATTATCTGAATCAGGAGCGAATAACCATGAAATCCAGAATTCTCCTACTAGGACGTCTGGAAAGTCTTATGGGGATCTTGGAAAAATGTACAGAATCTTGCAACCCTAGATTTAGCTCATGAAAGTTGAGGTGTATGTCAGACAGGAAGTTCTCTCACCAGACAGGAAGTTGCTCTGGGCATCCAGGACCTGGCTGACATGTTGGACCCACACCTGCTTGATGTCCAGGTTGGCCGCCTGCAGGGTGAATCGCTCGGCCGAGCCTCGACACGACAGCACAAACTTACATGGGTCGTTGTCCACTTGCTCCTCCAAGCCCAAGTAGCTCACCTGTACAATACAATGAAACACAACAACTCTAACTCAACACTGCACAATTCATCAACAACGCTATGGTGTGTTGTATTTTCTATGGACTCTGTATTTTATAATGTTCCCCAACCCTGCTTTCAAACCAAAATGTCTCTGGGGACAATAAAGTTTTGTTGATTGATTGATTGATTGAATGCAACAGTAGGAAATTGCCTCCATTTGTCTGGTCCATGGTGTCCTAATGGCATTCACTGTTGTTTTGACATTACTTGCCTTGATGCTCTTCTTAAACTGGTAGCCTGGGGTGGACGAGCCCTTGCGGAGGAGCTCGCTGAAGATGACGATCTGCTCAAAGAGGAAGACCCTGCGCTCCTTGCTGCGCGACAACACGCCCGTGTCCTGCTCCGTGACAAAGAACGTCTCCTGCTGCAGCAGTTTCCCCTGGCTGGTCAGCTTACCCTGGGGGAAGGCGTGCGCACAAACACACACACACAGGATCAGTTACGACTCAACATCTATCAACGCTGGAGAATAAAGCAGAGTCAGCCATGCCCCAGTCTGTCTGTCAACACAAGGGCATTGCCCAGTATCAGCCCTTTTTTTCTCACCAGGTCATAAAGCTAACAGCAGACCCTTGTACTGGATCTGAGACCAGGGTTGCATCTCAAATAGAACCCTATTGCATGTTTAGCGCACTACTTTTGACTAGGGCCCATAAGGCTCTGGTCAAAAGTAGTGCACTATATAGGGAATAGGGTGCCATTTGGGATGTAGTCCAGGCCATTGGCAAACACAGTGCTTAAATCTCACCACTGTTACAGCTGGCAAGGCAAATCTTTGCTTATCTTAGAGGTCAGAGATTTCATGGAGTCTGAGTGTTGTCAAAGTGAATTTTACTATGCCTGTGGAAGAACAAACATTAGACTCTCTAAGCCATGACCTGATTGAGTTAAAATGTCCAATAACACAGCTAATACAGCTTCGTGATTAATTCCACATTTTTCACCAGATGAGCATGGATTGTAACAATTCTAAAATCATAACTGATCCTGGTAGTAACTTCCTGTACATGTATGCCATAACAAATGTAATTATATCACACTCTTGATCTGCAGCATTACTTGTTTCCTATTTAATGTGCATGCTTTTATTGACACCCTGGAAAACAGTGGTGACTGTTACTGAGTGGAATATCGTAGCTAAATAACTAAATGATGAAATGTACAGCACCTCATAGCCTTGTAGTCTGCCAAGATTCATCATGTCATTGCAAAGCTTGGGGACCTGGGACATTAAACCAACTGCTTTCTGTAAAACACATTGAGAATGGTGTGAGCATTGACATTGATATAGCAGTGATGATGGATACACAAAACAACAAATAGGGTTACAAAATTTCAGGGACTTCCTGGTTGGAAGATTCCTGGAATCAGGAGGATTTTCGGATTTCCTGGTTTTTCCCTCTTGGAAACGAGGTATTTTGGGAAAGTTAGTGGAATTTTGCCAACCTATACACAATACAACAACACATACAGTATAGCTGTAATCGCAAATCGTTTCTGTTACCTCCATCTCTTGGCAATCTAGTCCTGCTTTGGAACTATACTTTAAGAAGTCCTGAAGAAGAAGAAAAAACAGTGTGTGTAATCAATAGGGCATTGATAAAAACCTCCATTAGTTTCAGGTAAATATATCTAAGGGCATGTCTTTCAGGGATTACTTGCTGGAGTTTAGCGTTGTAGTCTTACCTTTAGAAGTAGCTGATACTTGGTAATTCTCTGAATTGGCTTTATGAGAAAGTCACTTATGCCAAGTCTTGAACTGATCTCTTGCTGTATGCCCTAAAGTAGAATTAGCTGCAATTAGCATTAAGCCTATTTATAACACAAAAAAAGTATTATACAAAGCTGTTCTCAGACTACTCAAGAATTCTCAAAAGTGTTGTACAGCTCACCTCGAAGAATGTGTCGTACTCAGCGACAATGAATTCAGACTTGGGCTTGTTCTGGCAGTAAACCACATACATGTGTAGTCGTCTCTCCTGTATGAAAGGAGAAGAATATTAGTATCTTTCCTCTATTTTATTTTCCAGTTCTACGGTTGAAAATGTGAAAATGATCTTTCCTTGGATTTGTCTTCCACTTCTTCTGAATAATCATTTTGACCTACGTAAGTCACCTATGGTTGTTAAATGCATCTAACTTCAAGTTCTACTATGGCCATTATCATGTCCAATCAAACCTATTGAACAACGTCAGAACAACAAAGGCAACCCCACTCACGTACATGTTTAATGAAAAGCTCAGGAAGGTGCTCGTTGTCTTCAAGACATTTCTCCAGCTCACCGACAAAAAAACTGTGGGAGGAAACATTCTCTCAGTCACTCTGTAGGGCAATGAGGCAAGCCAAAATAGTGCTATACCACGTCAGGAGGAGTGACCTAGTTTGCTCTTCTAGACTAAATGATAAAACAAGCCAGTTATGGGAGGTTTCTGGCTGGTCAATGTGTGAAATTCTCCCCAATATTACAAATACACATAGTATATGTCCCAAATGACACCCTATTCCCTATATAGTGCACTACGGTTGACCAGGTTAAAAGTAGAGCACTATATAGGGAGCCATTTGGGACTTACTCTTTGTGCCAGTCGTAGATCTGGTGAATATTCCCAAAAACGATTTTGTCTTTTCCTTTCATATCTTCAGGGACTCCCTTATCCTCTATCCTCTTCATGAACCCCTAAAAGAGAAACAACATCACACCGAATTAAGGTCATGGACTCGATATGACAGGAAACATGAGTCAGATAATAATCAGCATTGTAAGACTAGCATACAGTGGAAAAAGAGAATATGATAAATACATATGGTTGAACTCATGGACTGCATCCCACATGGCACCATATTCCATATTTAGTGCACAATATAGGGAATATGGTGTCATTTGGGATCCAATCCTAGATGTGAGAAAATTATGCACTTATCTCAATATGTAAGACAAAACCCAGCCCAATACTCAAATTATGTTTTCTGAGGAGTTGTTTACGTAAATATAGTCACAAGTCGGGGAGCTTCTCTGTGACATAAATACCACAATGCAAATAGGACAACAGCTAGTCCAACACTTGGGATGCGTCCATAAAAGCACACTATTCCCTATATACAGCAGTGCACTACTTTTGAGCTCTGGTCAAAAGTAGTGCACTAAATAGGGAATGGGGTGTTATTTGGGGACAAATGTATGAATTCTAAAACTAGAGCAGTGACTGGTCACATTCTCCACTGTTACTAGGACATGCCTCTCTCTCCTGCTATTTCCGCACTAGCGATGCTAAATAGCCCCCCGCTAGGACGAGATTCTGGTCAACTCACCTCCACTACAATCCCCAAGTCCTTGACATAGTCCTTCTCCGTCTGTACCAGCTCATTGAGGACAAACCTGAGGAAAAGGACATGTGTGTTTAATGACCTGAATACACACAGGAGGCTGCATTTCTCTGCAGGATGAACCACCTATAAATGCAGTACAAACAGAGGGACTTCAACTTCGTGTCAAGGGAAGAATGTAATATAATAGCTTTGTTTGTCCTATGAGGGAACTTATTTTTTGAGTGGTTCAAAAATAAACAAATATAAACATAGTAGGCTAAACAGTAGACCTGCTAAGTGTACTTCTGAGTGTTACACATATAACCAAACAGAGGACAGGAAGACAACATCAGAGCCATTAGTGTCTGTGCTACATGACAGAGGCTAAGCTACATGTCTCTTACATGCGTCCGCGCAGAGCTTTGGCCTTCTGATCCATTTCAGGGTTCCTGGGCAGGGCTGGGCTGGTCTGTTCCGGAGGGGTCAAAGTGGTGAAGCTGGGGTAGGCACCTGGCTCCAGATTCTAACAAAGGAGAGAGAGAGGATTTGAAGCCAAGGGCTCAGAGGTCAGAAGTCACAGTCATACAGCCCACTGCAGTGACACAGGGAGAGGGAACTGATGGAGAAGAGAATACTCTGCTTAACCAATGAGCTGCCAAAGCCACATAAGTCTAAAACACTCTGTTTGACTGTATTGTACTCTTTTGGAAATTGCTCCACACGTACAAAGCTGAATGCTACTATGCAGTAGATGCTTGGAACCTTATCACATGATCTGTCACCTGACGTCATACTACTTATCTGATCTGTATGTGGCAAGAGGGGGCTGTGCCCCAAATGGCACCCTATTTCCTATCTAGTGCACTACTTTTGACAAGAGCCTTATCAAAATTAGGGCGCTAAATAGGGAATAGGGTGCCGTTTGGGACACAGCCAGTGTTCTATCATCCACATTCAGAAAGGAATATATTTGCAAATTGTCCTGCATGATAACATCAACATGCAGCTCCCAGTCAGCATGACATGGTTAGTGGCCTTTGAAAAGCGGAAGTTAGTAGATGACTTCAAGAGGAAGAGGGCATTAGTGTAGAGATTGTCACCGACTTATCAGTGTGCAAAGTGAGTGTGTAGAAATGGCAATTGCTCAATGCCGTTTTGAATTGCTTCACCTTCCACACTTACCAGCTTAGTTTTTACCAACTTTTCTATTGCACTGACAAGCTCCGCAGCGCTGGGGACATCGGCAGAGCCCTGACGTGCAGTAAGCAATGCGGAGGACTGCAAGGCAGAGTTTAGGAGGGAGGGAAGGAGAGAGGGAGGTCGGGCGCGTTAGCAGAAGGGAGGATGAGGAAGAGGAGGAGAGCAGGAATAGAGACAGAGAGACAAAGGTAGTTATTAGATAAGCGCTTAGTCAGGACCTTGGAGAAGCTACAGAAGACAAGCTTTAGTGGAGCAACGTGAGGTGCTGTTGGAATTATACACACACTATATCAGTTAGTAGTAGGCCTGGGACATTTCAGTGTCAAAGTGTACGTCCCAAATGACACCCTATATTGTAGTGCAGTACTTTTGACCAGGGCCCATAGGGTGCCATTTGGGACACAAAAAGTGGGGTGGGCTCTTGATTATAGAGTAAAGTGAGAGAGTGAAAGTGAAACTGTGCAACAGTGTGTTAGTTAGTCAGGTCACACAGTGTAGCTCTTCCAGCTGTAAACCAAGCTGGTACACATAATGCTTCCCATTCAGCAGAGCTCAGCAGACACGGATTCAGCTGTAGACACATGTGGTAGTTAGTGGCATAGTGCTGTATAGTACATAGAGGCAGCAGAGGAAGGGAAGTGGAGGGGGCTGCAGGTGGACACATCTTATGAGCCTGTGCTGAGTGACATAGCAGACTGTCTGAGACCAATAAGGTCGTTAACCGAATGGAAGACTAAGTGAAGGCTTCGTCCCAAATGGCATTCTATTCCCTACATAGTGCCCTTTGGACCCTGGTCAAAAGTATTGCACTATATAGCGAATAGGGTGCCATTTTGGATGCATTCATGAAGTAACTCCAACAGAGTGAGCTAGTAGACTTAGGGGTAGTAGAGGTACTACAGTGTCATGAAGAGGGGGTGCCATGCCGTACCTTCTCCTCCTGGGACGAGGGGTCCTTGATGATCTCCATGGGGGGCGGCAGGGGGGTGTGAGAGTCGTCCTCAGGCTCCTCCTCTCCTCCGCTCTGCATTCCAGAGGAGGACTTGGACAGGGTGCGCTCCTTCCTGCCCCTCTGTAGGGAGAGAAGGGTCGAGAGGGTAAAGTCTGGGGGGAGCAGGAGGGGTTAATGTGGGTCATTGTCCCAGAGTTCACAGGGGTGTCCTGCTCCATCACAGTGCCTCTCTTTGTCTCAACATCACACTGGGTGCCACACAGCCACCAGCCAGCCAGAAAGTCACTGCAGGCCTGGGCTGTGTCCCAAATAGCACCCTATTCCCTATATAGTGCACAACTTTTGACCAGAATTAGTGCACTATATAGGGAATAGGGTGCCATTAGGGATGCTATCCTAATCACAGTCCCACTGATGTGGGACCAAATCATGTGGAACACTTCTGTGACCATTCCTTTAGACTTTTTATCATGGGGCTGTGCTAGGAATGAGAACAAGGAATCTACTTTTCTGTTACTGTGAAATTATACTGTATCGGCATATCCTTTCGGTAGGCATCTAAAACATTTACATGCAGCAGTTGCAACAGTACAGCACAATATTGCACTGCTATCCATCAACCAAATGGGAAGTAAGAAATCGACTACTTGTACTGACAAAAATTCTCTCTACTTTTCCTCATGCACAGAGATGCATATAATTTGCTCGACATTAGTTGATATTGAAATTGATTCAGAAGGCTCCCATTTACACTGTGATGCCAATAGTTCATGACTTGTGATGAAACCAGAATGACACATGCACCCTGCAGAATGATCCCATAGTTATTGGGTCTGTATCCCAAATGGCACTCTATTAATTATACTACTTTTGATGAGGGTCCATAGGGATCTGGTCAAAAGTAGTGCACTATGTAGGGAATAGTGTGTGGATTTGTTATCAGATAACAGCTCATACTTTAGCCTTGGGAAATTGCTCCTCTATCGATGGGAGGATCTAGAGATTGTTTGAATGCTGCAGATATGCAATCACTGTAGTTATTAACCTTTGCTTACGAAGTTCAAGAGGTTCAAAAGACTGATCTGAAGGGGAATCATCACAAAGGTTTGGAAAAATTTCTTCCAAACCATTGCCTGAACTGTACTTGTAAATATTATCCATTCACTTAACCCTTTGTTAAACTAAAAGAGCCTGAAAGAACCACAACTCCCCCAGATGCAGTGTATTCCCACAAAATGTGACGTTTAAATGGCCAATCTGGGATTCAAAGAACAACAGCGGTCCCTGAAGAACTGTGATGGACATGTCCCTTAGAAACCAATGACTGTATGTTACAGAGACATGGTGGAGAGGAGAGAGAAAGGGAGAGAGGTAGAGGAAGGGAGAGGTAGGTAGGGAGAGGTAGGTGGAGAGAGAGATGCGGCAGAGACGAGACGCTCATTACCTCGTCTACACCCTCCTCCTGCGAGAGAAGGAGAGATCGAGAGAGATTGAGAGATGCGGTGGAGAGGAGTCAGGACGCTCATTACCTCATCTACGTTCTCGTCGTGCAGGGAGCTCTCTGGGGGCCCCAGGTCGATGCTCTTGCGGCCGTCCCTCTTCTTGTGCTTGCTGGGGAACTTCTTGACGCTGCTGCCGTGGCTGAGGCGGCGCACAGGGCTGGTCAGCCACTTCTTGAGGGTGTTGCCCGAGCGCTTGGGTCCCGGAGAGCTGGACTGGATGGAGCTCAGGGAGGCCTGGGACTGCAGGTTGGCCACCGACTCGGTCTTCGCTCCTTCGGGCCCGCTGACCGAGTAGTTCTCTGGAATTAGACGAGACAAACAGCATTTTAGACTCAACCTGGCCAACATTCTGCCAGACACACACCTTTAGAGTACCTAAGTATGCAGCATGAGCTTCAGTCACAGTTTAGACATTTCTCTTTGGCTCTGTGTGTGTCCCAAATGGCACCCTATTCCCTATATAGTGCATTAGTTTTAGCCAGGGCCCATAGGAAATAAGGTGCCATTTTGGATGCAGACCCTTTGGTCTCGTGTCAGCATTCTGTACTAACTAGAGTGATGTCCCTTGTTGCCTGAGGTCCACTTACGAACACCATTCTTTTTAAACCCATTACTTCCCAAAAACATAGGGTGAACAAACACAGTCCTGTGTTTATCAACATTGCTGAATGGCATACTGTAGGAATGTGGTCAACCCAGTTATCAACATTGGTCAGTGTAATAATATGTAGGAATGCAAGTCATCTGTATACCAACATTGCTCAATGTAGGATAATACTGTACAGGAATGCAAGTTACACAGTGCGTTTGCTTAGCTCACTCCAATAGGATAATTTATGAGGTGCCTAAGATTCACAACACAACAGCCTCCTGTTATCCTGTAAGAAAAGTGTTTGTCTCCAATATATATTGCAGTGCGTTAGCTAATAGTTATACAATGTGCACTGTTAATCATTGATGCTGATGTTTGTTTTAAGCCAATAAAAAGATAGCGGAGACATTTACTGCACAGTTGCAATTTATTAACATCACACCAATAGGAAAAGCATCATTTTTCATAATGACTAATAATGTGGACTAGTTTCCACTAACTAGTCAACCACCTTGTGTCAAGTTGAAGATGTATGTATGTATGTATGTATGTATGTATGTATGTATGTATGTATGTATGTATGTATGTATGTATGTATGTATGTATGTATGTATGTATGTATGTATGTATGTATGTATGTACAGTTGAAGTCGGAAGTTTACATACACCTTAGCCTAATACATTTAAACTCAGTTTTTCAGAATTCCTGACATTTAATCCTAGTAAAAATGCCCTGTTTTAGGTCACTTAGGATCACCACTTTATTTTAAGAATGTGAAATGTCAGAATAATAGTAGAGAGAATGATTTATTTTAGCTTTTATTTATTTCATCACATTCCCAGTGGGTCAGAAGTTTACATACACTCAATTAGTATTTGGTAGCATTGCCTTTAAATTGTTTAACTTGGGTCAAACGTTTCGGGTAGCCTTCCACAAGCTTCCCACAATAAGTTGGGTGAATTTTGGCCCATTCTTTCTGACAGAGCTGGTGTAACTGAGTCAGGTTTGTAGGCCTCCTTGCTCGCACACGCTTTTTCAGTTCTGTCCACACATTTTCTACAGGATTGAGGTCAGGGCTTTGTGATGGCCACTCCAATACCTTGACTTTGTTGTCCTTAAGCCATTTTGCCACAACTTTGGAAGTATGCTTGGTCCATTTGGAAGACCCATTTGCGACCAAGCTTTAACTTCCTGACTGATGTCTTGAGATGTTGCTTCAATATATCCACATCATTTTCCTTCCTCATGATGCCATCTATTTTGTGAAGTGCACCAGTCCCTCCTGCAGCAAAGCACCCCCACAGCATGATGCTGCCACCCCCGTGCTTCACGGTTGGGATGGTGTTCTTCGGCTTGCAAGCAACCCCCTTTTTCCTCCAAACATAACAATGGTCATTATGGCCAAACAGTTCTATTTTTGTTTCATCAGACCAGAGGACATTTCTCCAAAAAGTACGATCTTTGTCCCCATGTGCAGTTGCAAACCGTAGTCTGGCTTTTTTATGGCGGTTTTGGAGCAGTGGCTTCTTCCTTGCTGAGCTGCCTTTCAGGTTATGTCGATATAGGACTCGTTTTACTGTGGATATAGATACCTTTGTACCTGTTTCCTCCAGCATCTTCACAAGGTCCTTTGCTGTTGTTCTGGGATTGATTTGCACTTTTCGCACCAAAGTACGTTCATCTCTAGGAGACAAAACGTGTCTCCTTCCTGAGCAGTATGACGGCTGCGTGTTCCCATGATGTTTATACTTGCGTACTATTGTTTGTACAGATGAATGTGGTACCTTCAGGCGTTTGGAAATTGCTCCCAAGGATGAACCAGACTTGTGGAGGTCTACAATTTGTTTTCTGTGGTCTTGGCTGAGTTATTTTGATTTTCCCATGATGTCAAGCAAAGAGGCACTGAGTTTGAAGGTAGGCCTTGAAATACATCCACAGGTACACCTCCAATTGACTCAAATGATGTCAGTTAGACTATCAGAAGCTTCTAAAGCCATGACATCATTTTCTGGAATTTTCCAAGCTGTTTAAAGGCACAGTCAACTTAGTGTATGTAAACTTCTGACCCACTGGAATTGTGATACAGTGAAATAATCTGCCCGTAAACAATTGTTGGAAAAATTACTTGTGTTATGCACAAAGTAGATGTCCTAACAGACTTGCCAAAACTATAGTTTGTTAACAAGACATTTGTGGAGTGGTTGAAAAACGAGTTTTAATGACTCCAACCTAAGTGTATGTAAACTTCCGACTTCAACTGAATGTATGTATGTGTTGTTAGATCCAGACTAGCTCTGGTCCAGAGCGTGAGGACGTTTGCCTCTGCACTCTGTTATGGTCCATGTATCCTTACATAGAAACAAAATTCCTCTATGGAAGGATACATGGACTGAAACAGAGCACAGAGGCAATATCCTCACGCTCAGGACCAGAGCTAGCTAGATCCAAACTAGGGCCAGAGAGTGATTAGAGCAAAAGCTCCTGAATAATTTCCTTGGCTCATCCTGGTCCACCACTATGCATGCAGGCCTTATAAAGCCAAATGCACCTTCCAAGGCTGTTTGGTCTTAACCTTGGCGTTACTCCTCTTCGTTCTCACAATGCACCAGCCACAGTTTCAAACGCAATAGAGTTCAATGACTTTCACTGGCTCTGTATTTGAGCTCACGTCAACAAACAGTGACTAACTCTGGGTGTTCAGTAGTGTATAACATCCCAAAACATGTTGCAATGGAAAACGAAAATGTATGTGTCTGATTGGATCATTTAGGGTAGCACCTCCCCATTACAAAACATTTCCTTACTACTGAAAACAACTGAAGTATCATCAGTATTAGTAAATATTAAAGCGGCTGCCCGATCCATTGGGATAAAAAATAGCTCGATACTAAAGGAAACATTTGGCCAAGCAATTGAGATGAAAGGGGGGATATGTTTGTGCTGTGGGGGGCGGGCTTCTGCTGACCAGGCTAGCCAGGTCAAACAACTCACAAGTCTGCAGTAAAAAGCTGACAGTGTCCACGCAGTTATCAGCAGGCTACGGAGATATTTGCTGCTACAGTCAGCCCTATTGTGGCAAAGAAAAGGGAGGATAATGCAAATATACCTCTTCTCTGTTAAACACGGTCTCTTTCTCTCTCCCTCTCTTGCTTTGCTATCTCTCTCTCTCTCTCTCTCTCTCTCTCTTTCCCTCTCACTGGACTCGCTCTGGACTCACCTAGACTTCATTTCCCATCTATTTGAGGCAATGTGGAAAAGTATTTGACAGTGCTATCCTTAATAACAGTGGACTACATGTTTGGGCCCCGTACTAGAAGAATCTCTGTCCTGCTTATCGTCCGACTTAGTTTGCATAGAATGTATCCGATTGTAGACCGGTCAAAAAAAGTTACTATTATGGCTCTGGTCAAATGTAGTGCACTATGAAGAGAACAGGTTCCCATTTGGGACGCATGAATTGAGAGTAAAGTGTACAGTGGGATAGTGTAGCCTGTTGTGCTGCTGACTAGCTGCTTTTGTGCTAGATGACTCACTACGGGGAAGTGACCTTGAGGAGAATCATGTGGACCAAGCCTGTAGTTAGATAGTTAGATATTGTAAAGTAGAGCAACTCAGCAACCCAGAGCCGTATCAGAGCCCCAGCCACAATCTCTCCCTGTGGGGACAGTCAATAACAGGGCAGCGAGAGAGGGAGGGGTAGTCCTCTGTAGCTCAGTTGGTAGAAATACCCTGATGAAGACAGCTTGTCTGTCGAAACGTTGGTTATGAGGTTATTAAATGATTGCATCTGAGCTCCTAGAGTGTGCAGCTCTCCTTTTCTTTTTCAAGTGTTCTACTCCGCTAGCCAGCACCTCGCCTAAACAGGTGTGCATTTTTCGCCTCCAGAAATCAAAATAGTGACACGAGGAATAGTGACCAAAAAAAACAAGAGGAGAAAAAACACACACATGACTGCCTGCTGAAAAGCACTTTGGGGAGCAGCGCGTCACACTCAGACTTGATGACGACAGCAGGCGCTCTCATGAGCATGTGCTGGAAAAATAGTGTCGCTCTTGGCCGGCCATTAGGCCCTGCTCTGTGTACACATGGCCTTTGTCCCAAATGGCACCCTATTCCCTATATAGGGCCCTGGTCAAAAGTAGTGCACATAAGGATACCCAAAAGTAGTGCACTATATAGGGAATAGGGTGCCATTTGGGACGCAGCCACGGTACCACATGGTTCTCTTAAGCGCCTTCATTTCCCATCTCGCCAGATGAATGGCTGCACTGACAGAGGGATCATGTTCTCATTCCTCACACTACGGTCTCACTGTTACCTAGTTCTGATGCAGAATTAGCATCTTCTATCACATGCCTTCTGTTTACACTAGAAACAACCACTAAAAATACTCCCTTCATACCACAAAGGGGGATTAAAACCCTTAGGGAAATATTGTGCAATAAGATATTGGCGTTAAACAGTCATCAGGGTTATATCATGACTCCACAACATGAAATACATTTGTAAATGCTTAAATTACCTTTTCTGATGGTGACCCATATAAATCTTATGACTTACTTGAGGTTTTTATGCTCGGATACCACTGCACCAGTTAAACTGTATGTCTGTCTGTCTAAAATGCTTGTGTGAGTTATCGCATGGCGTAAACAGAGTATAACATTTCTGTGTCACCAACAGTGATTAAGTTGTGTGATATAGAGCCACAGTCTCACACAATGGAAACCTGTGGAATGGCCTTGAGTCAATTTCCCA